TAGGAAATGAGATATTTCCAAAAAAAAGCGCAAAAAACCGATTGTTGTCTCAAAACCTACCATATGTAGGTTTTGAGACAGCTTTCAGGGTGTCAATATACAAGTATTCACAGACTTACAGCTGGGTATCTCGAATTCCGAGGTGAACTTACTATAATGACTGGACTAACTTTCACGAATAGTACTTCAGTCAACAGTAAATTCCCATTTCATGATATATTTTCTGAGATATATTGCATTGTCCATGCATATGTTAATATGCGATATTAATTCTCTAAAATATTAGTTATATTTTTAAATTTTATCTCAAGTGCTTGTTTCTCTTGTATTTTCTAAGTAGGTTTCGTACAGCGCATTCTTCCCGAGAATAGATAAAGCAATAATGCCGATAATTCTGTCAATACAGATCTCGAGCTTGAGAGTTACAAACAAACATACATAAAAACAAGCATACATTTTGGGTGTCACACCAATAGGTGGCTCCACTTATGTCTCGCTTGCGTTTACGCAGTTATTTCTATTGAGTACTTTTCTTGGTTTTTCACATTTTGTCTTCAATCGAGGATCGCCTGCCCGGTACTGACGATGGCCAATAGGCTGAAACAGCTGTCTACCGGTGGCTCCTAAATTGAAATCAATATGGGAATGATCAGAATTGTGCTTATTTATTTATCTTTTGATTTTCATATATTGTTATAAACAGACTCGAATACAACAGTGTATGGGGATTTTCAAGACATCACGGAGGATTTCGGATACAGCAATACAGCGAGGACACCCTGTACATGTATTGAAACCCACAGTCTGGACAGGAAACAAGTACAAAAGAGTGGGAAATTCAAATATCAACATTTGTACATCAAAATTGATTGAAATTCGAAAAACAGATAACCGATATAGGCCAGAAAGAAATGTCAGATGAAATTTAATTAATATCTGTGATGAAAAATCGAAAAAGGCATAATAAAGTAATTGTTATTATTTATGAATGATAAAAAATTCAAAAATTATTGTTGTGAACCATTTCCTTAGAAACGGACATCAAGTGATGCTTTTGGAAAATATTTATATTTACATATAAAGCTTTAATAACTTCAAATTATTATATGCGAGCGCTTGCGATAACAGGCTGTGCTGTCATCTTCATAGCTCTACTCAAACTGAACGTTTTATCTTCTTGTTTGTTCTTTTATACGGTTAGAACGCCTTAGTGCAGGTAGAAAGGAGAGGACTGGTTCTATAATAGTTCATAAAGTACAGTATTTAATTTGATATTTGTATGGAAACTCTAAGAGAGCAAGGAATACCACTGGATATCAAGCGAAATCACTGCCTCGGATTCTCCTGCACACTCTCACAGACAGCGGCAATGTTTTCGGTAGATCTTGCGTTTCGACGACGTACGGGTGATGAAGAGTGATTTCAATCAAATTTGAGTACGATATTGCTTATAAATCTTTTTCAGACGAAAAAAATATGTTTCACTTTGCTTTATCGTGCTTTTTTGCTGAATCACCTTGATACCCCTGTTTCCAAATCAAAACACATCTCTCTCGTGAAATCAGTTTATCATCGTTGATAACTTCTGATCCTTTTGTATTTATAAATGATTTGCGAGAACAAATTGGTGTCAGGATCATCTCGTGTGGTAAACTGAATGATGAAATTCTAATTTTAGTCTTTTTCAAATAAATATGCGCCATATTTTTATGGAAAATAGGCAGACTGCCAGATCCAAAATTAACGTTGATGGAGTAATTAAGTTTTCAAATTTTCAAGTGTTTTCGGTTGGTCAGCAAACATTTTAAAAGGAATTGCGAATTATTTTATAAGTGGTCTTGGAGAAATATTAGCGTTTGTTAGTCGAGTTGATGTTTATGACGGCAAACAATTAAAAATATCAGTGAATAGTCGACATGAAAATCATACTGGGTGAGTGATTGAGACAAGCTCTTTTCACGTCTTTCGGTTTATTGTGAAAGATATCCTAGAAAGAATAGTGAAGGATTGTTGAAAGCATCATAAGATATTATACAAGTATTAAGTCTCATCTACAAGATTCATCTTCAACAAGAACTGGAGGAACACAGCGTGTCTTTACTGAGGACACGCCTGAAGAAGCCATTGTATAGCGAAACATGTGTCGCGTTTTTGTGAAACTGTTTAGTGAAAATCTCATAATGAAGTGTTTCTTGAATATTCGTTTCATTTGCAGAAAATTAAATGCCTACTACTCTGTAGGTAGAACATCGTTGCCAAACGATGCCAAAATTTCCTAAAAAATTGCATGGTATGAGCCAATCGATATGCCAACCATCCTCAGCAACTTCTCTAACAGTGAATCGACAATTCTTCATAACTATTTTCTTCACTTCCTCAAGATTTTCATCAGATGTTGATGTGCTGGGGCGTTCAGGGCAAGCATCATTCACATCTTCACGATCTTCTGTGTAAAGCTTGTATTAGTCGAAGTAAACGACATTGTGCACACTTGAAGTTAGCGGCACTCTCAAAGGTCAAAAAAACCAATACTTGGAATATGGAAATGAACCGAGTTTCATGATTGGCTGAAGAGTCATAAAATAAAATTTGAAGTCATGTTACGGTGACGAATAGAAATCGGGGAATGTGGGGATGATTATCGTCGTCGTGTCATCAATGTTTAGTTCAGGAACTGATCGCACTTGGAGTGTTGAAATTCGATATTGCTATTGGCGTTCTTGGACAAGGTGCTTTTAGTAATAAAGCACCTTGTATATAACAATGTGTATAACAATGCGAAAAAGAGATACCAGTGAATAAAATTCGGGTACATTTGAATATTAAAACACAGAAAGTATGTTTCAATGTATGTAAGAATCTCAAGTTTGGTTCCGAGGGAAACAAACTATGACAAGCAACATCAGATTTGACCGAAATTCCTTTCTCAACTGTACGTAAAATAATCAAAAACAAACCTTATCAACGCAAGACGCGATGTGATAGGGGATTACCAAAATCTTTAGATGTTCATCTGATAAAATCATTCAAAAAACAATGTACGACTGTTACAAAAGCAATGAGATTCCTACAACTGAAATCATAAGGAAGAAATTGAATACTTCAGGCCATAACGTGAGCTGCTGTGACAAAACTCTTCAGAATTAGATAAAGAAACTAGGGTTTATATTAAAAGTAATGAACAAACGTCAAGCAGTTATAGAAAGCAGAAGAATAGTGGAATTGCGTAACAAATAATTAGAACAAATAACTAAATATAGACAATAACAACGACAAATTTTCTATTTGGACGAATCTTGGTATGACACTCACAACACAGTTACGAAAGGGTGGACTGAGGGTTCGAGAATATGTACGCCTAACCTGCCTGCAAACAAAGGATCGCGACTAATAATTGTGCATTGCGGAGGAAATAAAGAATGGGTTCCGAATTCTTTAAACTTATGTGGAAAAAAAAACTTAAGGACTGCAATCTTGACTATCATAAGAACATGGAAGCTAATATTTTCTAGAAATGGTTTGAAAACACATCGATCCCAAATTTGGAAGCGAATAGTGTAATAGTTCTTGACAACGCTTCCTATCATTCGCGTCAGCTTATCAAAGTACCGAATAAATATTCGAGGAAAGATTGAATACAAAGTTTTTTAATGGATAACAATTTGTATTTTGAAAATTACTATACCAAAAACCAACTGCTTGAAGTTTTACAGACAAAAACATTTGAAAAAGTGTATGCCCTTGAGAGTATTGCTGAAAACTATGGACACACCACACTGAGACTTCCCCCCTATTTTTGTGTTTTCAATCCTATCGAGTTGGTTTGGGGAAAATTGAAACAAAGCATCAGGCGTAAAACTAATTTTCCAAAATTCGATAAGAAGGTAGGTAATAGAGCTAATTAAAGAAGAACTCTAATATTATCGAAGAAGACTGACAGAAAAGGATTGAAAAAGTAATTTTAGTTGAAAAAGACTATATGGGGATTGGACCCTTCCATATTAATGATGATACTATATTATTATAGGGGAGCTCTTGGAAGGTAGGTTGCACTATATCGTTTACTTGAACTATACCACTTGTAACATTTCTCTGACTTAGAGTACAATCACCGTATGCCACTGTCAACATTTCAAGTGTTTCTGAGCACTCTCCATTTTTCACACAAAATTTTATGGAAATTCTTTGTGATCAATTTTTTTGATAGCAGAAAATCGGTGAACACGAAAAACACTTTCAACTTGTAATTCCTTTCACCAACAAACTTGATTAACAACTGGAAATGTGAACATATGTTCGAGACGAGTGTACCAACAAAAAGAATCGTTAATCGAATGTCCGTAGCCCGCGAAATTTAAACAGCCACGTATTATTCACCTGTCACCTGTTTTAATATTTTTTTTTTGGAGAAACCTGACTGACTTCTTATTTTTAATGATGATGTCAACCTATTTCATTATGCTAATGAAATGATGTCTTCAATAGGTAGGTACGCAAGGTACTATTAACTTTTATCTTCCAATATTTGTTTATTTTTTGTTTATCATTATACGGAAATTAAAGATTCTGTCTCTAACGTTTTGAATACATCAGTAGAAATAGGTACAGACTTTTCATTGATTGAAAAGATACGCATTTTCATCAGCTCGAAGAAAGTCATGGTGTAGAAATATATTCATGATGTTTTAAGTTTTTCCAAATATTTCAAGCATGAAATAATCTAAATATAACCTCCCGGAACAAACGTCTGTCAGATGACGGTCATGAATACATAATTTAAATGTTGTTTCATGAAGAATCAAAATAGTAGGTCTTTTTGCATTCTTGAAATGCTGTCTTCATCAATGTAACTACCGTAAAATGGGGTGAATAGAAACAATGGGGTGAATAGTTTTATGTCACATTTCAGTGGTAAAGGGGTAAATTTCTTGTTGCAAGTCGATAACACTAAATTTGAAGGGAAAAAAACGTTTTATGTGGTTGGCAGCATTGAGAGTCAGATTCATTGCAAGAATAACCCGTTTTGTTTTAAGCAGATATTTCGTCATCTTCTAAACTTTACATGTAAGTATTATATCCTATCATGTTATGTTCTTGATTTGTACTATTTCTTTAGCGTTATATACCTATAAAAAGGATAACATACTTTAAGAATGTATAAATAACACACTTTTCAATTTTCAGAATGTTATTTGAGGTTATGTCACATATTTTAAGATGTGTGGAGTGACTAGAAACACAGTAGACAGCTGTTTCTAATCACATCAGAGAACATAATTGTTAGTTTTAGAATAGGTGGTATTGTGCCTCTTTGTCGCAATCAAGCACTAAAGATGTTACCATCTTTAGATGACTCAGGAGCCACAACTCCTGTCGCTGCTATTGACGACACTTAACATGTGAAAGTTTCCATTGAGCCTGGAAAAAGTGTTTCTGTGGCAGATTTTCCAGCATTGACAATGGGAGTTCTAGTACGTCTAAAAATAAAATAACAAGCTGGTCAAAAAACAAATATGGAAAAGTAAGAAAACATAAAAATGTTAATTCCCCAGCTGAAGAAGAGTCAGAGTACTCTGCAAGATAGTGATGCAAAACTTATTCTATCTGACTCTATCTAGCAAAATCTCTCGCCTTGAAGACAATGATTATGTTGGTATTTTTTACAAGAAATTAATTTCTAACAACACAATTTTACCAACTGATAAAGAGTTCTTTTTCCTGAAGGACAATGTAATAAAGAAACTCATGCCGCCAATGAAGCATCTAAGTCTTCCTCTCGTATGAAAACAAGCATTAGTTTCCTTGATGATCTCAGTAACTTTACCATCTATTAATTATATTAACTTGACTAGCAATCATTCATTTTGTCATTTGTAATTTGATATTTGGTCATTTATAATTTGATATTTACATAACATAATTTTTTTATCAAAAACAAGTGTTTCTTTTCACCCCATGACAGTGCTGACTGTTTCTATGAGCCCCACAGGTTCTGCAGTTGAAATATACGACTTGGAAAACAGTGTAAGCATGGGCGGAACAGAAACAGCATGTTTTAATTTTTTTAATGTTTTTCCTTGTAGGTACTTGAAAGAAAAAACAATGGTGTAGGTTTGTAGATGACTGCAAGGCCTATAAACAAAGGTAAGTTTCAATTCCTTACATCTCATAATAACTCTAACGATATTTATGTACAAAGTTGAAAACTGTTTCTATTCATCCCATTTTACGGTACTCTTTTCGGGGTAGTTTCAACTTTCCTCATTGGTGGAAATAATAACATATCAAGAGAGATAATATTATGAAGTTTGATCAAAACACTCTGTTAGTCAGCAAAATATTATGAAAAAACACAAGAGAAATCTACTCTTCGAAAGGGGTACACACGTTTTGTGGCATCAGCATACAGTGAAAAATAAACATGTTCGGATTGTATGTCCTCGGTAAGGTCATATTTGGGCGATCCTTTTTTAGTCGCCAAATTATCCACACACACATACTTTAAAATAAAATCGTTATGAGTCTTTCTTTTCCTGCTATTACAATTGAAAAAACTCAATAACTTTAATATTCGGCTCGTGCAATCAAGGACACCCACAAATGCCGAGTTATTGACAGCAAACCAACACAGTACAAAGCCAAAAATAGACGGGTTCAACGCGGGTCGCCCGCAAATCCACAAACAATTCACAGATGCTCGAACATAAAAACTCCTTACCGGGCGAAAATCCGCCTAGACCTAGACTTACCCGATTCCGCAAAGTCAGCCAAACCGGCTTGCTATTCCTGTACCACACAAAACAGTAGAAACTCGCGTCGCGGCACACTACAATTCGCTCGGACGGCGACCAGCTCTTCTGTTACGAGAGCAACTTGGCTGTGGATCGGCCGCTGTTCAAATGTCGGCGCGTAGGCTACTCAGCGCGTTGCGCGTGCGCACGCCTCCGTTGCGTGGGCGTTTTTAACACAACAATTAGATATGCGAACCGCCGAAACAGGTATTAATCTGTGCAGGTGAGACGGGTTCTTTTGAAAGCCGTTCTCGGAATACGCCGGTGGGCGGCCGCAGGAATTTGTAGGTAGCAGGAATATTGTTATTGCGGGAATCGGACGCGGAGGTGGATCAGGTCGATTTTCTTCGGTCGAATTCGCTCGGAACAGCAAGTTTTTGCGATTTGAAGTTTGTTCTAAGCTACAGTACATGCAATGGCGAGCGATCGCGCAGGTATAGAGTCTCCCAAGTAAATTACTATTGGCTTACGATAAGCCCCTTGCCGGCCAGTGTCGTACCTATAATTAGTTGTGATTTAGTTTCATATTTTATTTAGTATTCTAGGTAGTAGTACAGTTCATTGAAATGTTATATAATGATACACTTATTCATAAATAAACTCCAATCAGTCACTATCTGAATACAAATGGTATTCATCTTCACTGCTGCTTGTGCTGCTATCTTCATTTAAATTTATAATCACTGCATTTACTAGTCCGGTCCGGTCCCGGTATCTACAAAAAATGTATCAGTACTTTTTTTTCCTGCGAGCCACCGTTTTTGAGATAAAACGATTCAAAAAGTTGTAAAAGTTGTAATCGTCATAATATGCACACGTTTCCACGCCACCTATGAGGTAGTTTAGCGCGTTTTTTTAATGTGGTTTCCCCAGTAGGCCTATTCCACGGGTCAGTTGTGATCATGTTTAATTTGAAACTATTGCAAAATAATGGATATTAGCAGAGATTGAAAAAAAAATAGCAATTTAAGTTAAAAAAGTAGTGAAATTTAATCGTCCGGGTCGTAACTTTCAAATTCTTCTTCTTCTTGTTCTTCTTCTTCTTCTTTTTCTTGTTCTTCTTCTTCTTGTTCTTCTTCTTCTTCTTGTTCTTGTTCTTCTTCATCTTCATCTTGAGTACATGTAAATTGCATGTCGCCTCGTTGGAATCAAACGGATCCTGCACTGTTGGTGATTCACTATTATTAGAGCACGACCGACCTTGACAATGTGTACATGCGAGAGAACAAAACAGTCAGGCTTTTTTGAGATCACATTTAGGACTGCACCCCTTTTTGCACTTGCGAAATATGGTGTTCAGCAGTTTTTCCGGCGCAGGTGGAAGTAAAGTTTAGACTGGTTCTAATGAATTGTTGACCAACTTCCAACCCTAGTCTGTAGGGTCTAGCTGATAACCAAGCCACACTTAAACTTGGTAATATACCCGAAAAAGACATTGATGAACAGCAACTGAGGTTGGAGGAAGACAATGTAATTGTACTTGTTTTTTACTTTTGGTATTTTTAACGAAATCTATACTTATCTAAGCAGGTAGTTTGCTTGTCGAGTTGAATTACTATTTTTTAAAACTTCAGCACATTGAACTAAATTTTATTTTTCAACCATTTTGAAAACTGTTATTTTACCCCTCCTGTAAAATGTAGATGTCGTATCACAGCCAGTTATTGCGTATGAAAATGGTACATGATTTTGACAGTTTGCAGAAGTAGATAACTTTTTGATGAATATATTTCCGATTGATGTTGAGGTTTTCCTGGTTTTGAGAAGAAAACAATTTTTTCAGTTGGAGTTCGAGCAGTGAGTAATACTATTAAGTCTACATCTTCATCAACAACAACAGTTGTAGTTGTCAAATTGAATTGCTCTATTGATGTTTCAATTATCAATACATCAGCATCATTATTAGCTTGTTTTACCAATATATTTTCAGCAGTAAATTTTTCTTTCAACATTGCAATGAATCAAGACTTGTTGTGAGTATTTGTGAGAAATTTTTGTTGACTGGTTGGAAATGTCATATTTTCATCAAACAAAATATCAATTGATATAGATCAGTGGTCGCCAACCTCTTCAATGTGTTGAGCTACTTTGTTAATTTTGGAATAAACAGCGAACTACCCACACGGAAGCCACGTAACGCAACGTAAATGAAATAATCCACAGTTAATTTATCATTATATGTATTTATTTTACTATTTAACTGGTAATACATAATACATAGGTACTAATAATAAACTAATAACAAAATAACTAATATTACTAGTACGTACTTGTTCATAGCTACATTCCTACCTATCAAACGAAGGTGTTCGAAAAATAAACACAAACTTTTATCCAGCCACAACGGCATGTCACGTATGATTTAAAAATAGTTACCTAATAATAACAACAAAAAAGTAACGCATTATCATGAACATAAACATTGAAAAATAAAAAAGCACGTTCAATGAGAAGGCTGACACTCAGACTCATCGATAATTTTTTTAATGTTTGCAGTATAATTTGATGCAGCCATTCGAATACAATTATCCAAATGTTCATTAAATGGGAAAACCAGTCATGTCCAGTAGTGTGTCCTTTCAGTGGAATGAACTTCAAAAGATCTTTAATCGTAAAATCACTAAAAACAATCCTGACGAACACGGCCTTCTGGGCAGTGTCAACGACATCTGTTGATTCATCCAGTTGAAGTGAAAAATAAACACAGTTATCTAAGTCAGTTCTTAACTGTAAAAAAATATCATTGCTCATTACTTCTACACGTTTCATCACTGTATTAGCAGAAAGTTGCATAGATTTTATAGCCGAAACTATCTCGTCTTTATTTCTAAAGTTGGCAAACAACGAATCAGCAGCTTCTAAAAACGCCTGTTTTATCATTTCCCCGTCTTCATAAGGTTTCTTTTTTTGTGCAATTATCTGGGACACACGGTACGATGCTTCAGTTGCAGCCTTATTTTTGTCGACTGTTCTTAAAAATATTGATTTTTGTCCAATTAACTGCTTTTTTAACTGTTTCAGTTTCTCCTTTCTGGCGGCAGAATGTAGTGGGAATGATTTTTCAAAATTAGAATGTACAGTTTTATGATGTCTCTCAATATTTCCTTTTTTAGCAACGGAGACCGAAGTATTACAAACAAACACACATTTTTATCTTTAACTTCTGTAAAAAAGTATTGTTCTTCCCATTCCGAATGAAAGTGGTATGTCTTTACCTTCTTACAACTGCAATCCATAATATTATTTTTGTTGTTCTCTACTAACCCAACCGCTGGACGTTGGTCACGCGTTCATTTTTAAACTAAGCGCAATATCGCCGCGCCGCGCGTATTTATCCCGTTCAATGCAATCCAGATCGTTCTCGAACACTAACGCGCTGGTCCGGCTGGTCGGTTCTAGCCGATTTTAGCTTGATGGCGCCAGCGGCAGATCGCACACAGCAACGTTGCCGCTGTTTATGTTTAATATTATGACAATTAGATTTTTTTGTGGAATTTTCGGAAGCTTCTCTGATATTTGCAGTTTGTATTTTTTAAATTAAAATCGTTGTGAGAGCTACCAGAATTGCCTCTGCGAGCTACCGGTAGCTCGCGATCGACAGGTTGGCGACCACTGATATAGATGTTGCTAAAGTTCGACGACGTTGTTCTGCAGCTTTGGTATTTCTCGTGCAATCATTATAGCCATCAAATACGACATCAACTCTGGAACCAAAATTTCGACGTACATACTGTACGTTTACAATTTTTGTCTGAAGTATTTTTATGCTAAAATTTACCGTTTTGCTGAAAATCGTGAAAAACTATTTTTTTGACCTTGAATAATTTTTTTTCCATTCAGGGGAAAGAGAGGGAACTTTCAAATTTTATTTTTAATCATATTTTAAACAATCCTTCTGATTTTCAGCTTGATGGAAACTTAGGTAGCTTTAGTCTTATTTTTTGGTCTAATTTGACCGGACTATTACCTCTTTTTTAACGTCTGTGAATGTTTCATTTTCCCAATATGTCTGCTCTATATCTACTACATGTCGGCAACGCTTTTGCCACTCCTTGGAAGTGATTTGATCAAACTCGTGCTCCGCCAGTTTCCTCAAATATTCCAACTTAAAAGTTACATTCTTTTGGGACACGTTGTTTTTGACAGTAGCCCAAATGAGTTCAATGGGATTCAAATCCGGATGGTGTGGTGGAAGTCGCAAAACGTTATGGCCGCGTTCAAGCAGAACCTCATCAAATTTCTATCTAATATGATGCTTTTTATTTACCTTGATCAACTCGGGTTTGAGCATGTAAGGAGTGAACATAGTGCTTTTTTCGTGCAGCCACTTCACCATGTCAGCCTTCCTAGAATTTGTGTTGGGGGCTGGATTAATTTGAATATTATGGTACAGAGCATTATCGGTCACGACTACCGAATTCACTGGTAAATTTGGGATGAACTTTTCCTGTAACCGTTTACCATAATTTTCAGAATTTATTTCTGAATGATACTCCCTTGATGTTGTGCCTAATTCAAATATAAGCCGACAATTAGGTGTAAAGCCCATGTCAACTCCTGCATGGACAATAATGAGTCTTGGCCCCTTCACAATAAGTTTGAATAACCTTTTGGTTGATTCATCTGGCCAGTTCTTGGAAGATATATGTCCACTATGAAGGTATGTTTTATTAAGAAACACAATTGGTCCGTCCCTGTTGGCTACGAAAATTATTGATTTTTTGTAAATACTTGATCCTCAAAGCTCTAATGTCAGTCTTTCTCCATTTGAAACCGATTTTCTTTAAAATTCTACGAAGAGATTTTTTGGAAGTCACAATTCCCCTTTCGTCACCCTTTCGTCTTATGATCCATCTAATATTGGAATACTCGTACTCAAGATTATAAGTTATTGATGCTCTTTTAGGCCGCTTCTTTCTTGGGGTGGAAAATGTTACTTCTCCGTTATTTGCAGAAATTAATTGCCCCCCTTCTTCAACCACTCTTAAAGTGGTTCTTATTGAAGTAATTAACACAAAATAAAGATTTGTGTTGAAATACTTATTTTTTAAATTTATTTAATGTTACCAGTAGCGAGAGATGTTTTATTTTTCACATTTGATAACGTAAAAGACTCACATTTAACACTTTGAAAATAATTGAATACCTACTTTAAAAATTAATTCAAGTGTCTGACTCTTGATGACCAGTTTTTTGTTAGGCGATGCTGTAGAATGAATATTTATTAAGATATTGAGCTACAATATTATATTACATTGAAATATTCGCTTCAATAAACTACATACCTTTGTCCCAAATTTTAGATTTTTTTATCATAGAAATAATAGGATGGTGTCGTCCATGTATAATGATTTCGTTTTCACCGATTATGCATTCATTCCTTATAGAATAACCTCAATCACTTCAGAAGTCCATGTTGACAGAAAAAAACGCTGCTTTAGTGACGTATTCAGGATGAGCTCTTTCAAGATGACAAACACGAGAATCTCAATATTGAAAGTACAATTCATATGCTTTACATGAAATAAAAACACCCTGGAAGTGCCTCATTCGATGCCAGATGAACTCTATACATCTCAAACCACGGCTTACATTACGGTTTTTATTATATGTAGGGACATTTTATCCCTTTCTCCTGCCCCCAGCCAATATAATATACAATGATTTAATAAAATATCCTTCATAGACATTAAAGAACATCAGATATAGATAGCTCTGCCATCTAGTTTTCGTCACAAAAAACTATATTATTCATCGTGGCTTACGACATTTGTTTTCAGACGTTCGACAATTTTCATGTATAGCTTGCGTCATCAGTTCATAGATGGCAGTAGTGCCTCTTCAAAATTTCATCTGACATTTATTATGTTTCGACAAAGGGCCCTTTAAAAATTTTGTATTCGAAAACTACTTTTATCAGTATTGTAGTAATAGTGTGTTCTAGATATTACGTTTTGATGGGTTTCAGGCCTATTACGCCCTTCGCTTTTGATACTACATATATTTTATGATTCATCATCTGCAACATGCGGTGTTACAACTTAAAATTCCAATACTTGGTTAATTTTCAAATTCTTCGATGATGAATAGCAACACTGTTTTTCTATAAAAACAATAAACAATTCTACGGAGATTATAAAAACATTGTTTAGAATTCCCGATATATTGGAGTGCGCAGAAGGCACAGAAGAGCATTACTACGCCTTTGAATATCTGCTCAAAACTCATCGATATATCTACATTTTTCAGAAAAAAAGAAACACAACAAGAAACATTTAATATATCGATAAATTTATTGAAAAGTTCAGTCACTACAAAATTAATCCTAGATTAAGTACATCAAACAGATAATCCTAGAAAAGAATATCGAATAAAATTATTAAAAATGAGGGTAATCACGAAAATTCTTGCCCGGAGAGGGCGCTGAGGGGCGTAAAGTCAGTTCTCGTGGTTCTTTATTTACATATGGATTGAATGACTGTATTTGAATTATGCTACAAGGAGTTAAGAAATATGTGAAGAAGGAAGTTTAAAGACAAGCGATACTAATGCGGAAGGTGTAATGTGACAAGTACTGTAGTCTAGTCAGAGTTTACATAAATGGTTGTGAATGCTATAATTGTTACCATTTTTCAAATCTCTGAGAACAACATGAAAAATGTGTGATTAAAAGATTAAAAACACCACAACCAAAATATTCTGATGAGCTACTTTGAAAAGGAAACATTAAAAAAATGTGTTGAGAATTAATATGTAAACAATAAAAGTCAAGATAAAATAATGAAGATGAATGATGAAAAAAATGCGATGACGTTTCCATTGTAAGTACATATACACAATCGCCTTCGGTTGATAACTGGTTCACCTTTATTTTTATTGTTCACATATTATTCACCTAAAGTTATTATTCGATTCATTTACTCATTCCTTTTTATTTCAGTTCATGATAATTTGTTTCCTCTACCATTGTTTCTATATTTTTCAAATTCCATATTCATTGTTGATTTATTATTTCTTTATGTGAATCATTGAGTTAACATATTATTTACATCCAGTTTATATGCCAAAACTTCACAAAACTAGCTCAGAAGTCCTTAAATAAGCCAAAGTCAAACATCCATGTTAAACTGTCGTCTCAGTCTCGCCCTATAGCGCCCTCTGACGGCTTCGTCGATAGTGGCCCTCATCACAGCAAGGTTATATTTTCATGTCTGAACTAAGAACATATTTCAAGCCTCTCTCTATTGCAATATATTATATACATTCCTTATTCTAAACAAAATATACAAAGTTTAATGAAAAATGACGGGGTCGTTTCTATGAAAATACAGTATTATCAGGAATATTCAATTTGTACCCCGCTTGGCTGATCTATCTCGAGGCTATAATTCACGATTGGTTTGACACAGACAAGATATAAACGATAAAACGGTAAACTAACATAGTTCAAACATTCAAATCACTGGATTTCGCTTTGCCCACAGAACGTGTTATCAGCGATTTTGACCTGGGTATGCTCGTCAAACTTTGAGTCTGAAACAATAGTAAAAACCAAATCTAAGCGTAGCAGATACCTAAGCATTTTAATTCATTAGTAATGAAATAGCTTGTTAGTGACATTTTTTGAGTGGAACAAAACCCTATCTGTAACCTAACCTCGTCGATAATAAATTATTAGACCCACGGGTCTGAAGTTTGAAGTCAACTTAGACCAGATAGTTTTCTCGTGAAAATTTATCAAACTTAAGATGGGTTCATTTTGGTACGTTACATTATTGACGGGACTGCGAATAGGCATATATGGCTCTAGGGTTATTGACATAACCCACTTGGGTCACAAGGCAAATAACCACAGTAGCAGTCGTGGACACCAAAGAAAATCAATTAAATGCATTGAAATCAACAAAACTGTAAATATATTATTCAGATAGGTCATTAAAAAAAGTAATATGATTACAAATATGGGAACTATCCTACTATCCTCAAGCTTGCGTTGATATGATATTAGAAGATTTTTGTGAGGTTGTTTTCTCCAGACAGTTCTTTCACGAACAACTTGAAATGTATCGATTTTTATTGACGTTGACAGACAGTGTTGAAAAGTCTTCACTATCTAACACACAATCAAAGCCACTGTTATAGTAGTTGAAGTTTGACAGACTTCTTTAGGACTCTTTGAATTTTTGCGAAAAATTTCGTTTCTGATATGGTGATGGACGCACGTGCCTACAACGACCGTCCACAAAGAAGGTACGCGGACGCCATTTTTGGAGATGAAACTCAGTTTTGTGTTGTGACTGTCTGCCGTTATAGAACGTGCCACCAATAAAATTAACATTCTTTGTGAAAAGTCTTATAATTGTTGAAGAGAAACAGCACTCACATTCACGCCGGTTGGAGGCCGGATGGACCGGATGTCCACGTTAAATGTTTTTATGAAAAAAAAGTTTTGATAAAAAAACGGTGGCAGCATTGCTTCGAGCAAGACCGCTGAGCACCCCCGACAAAGTTTTTATTATAGTTATCATTATAATAAAAAGAGCACTGGTTAAGTGTGCCAAATCTGAAAGCTGGGACCAAAATTAAGAAGAAGAAGAAGAATTTTCGCGAAACTTTCTTCGAGAGATTTGAGAAAGGCATTCCAAAAGAAGACGAGAAGAAAAAGGAACTTTTACTTCGGCAGTGTATACAAAAATAGCTAGATAACTAGTGCAAAAAGGATGAATGATGCCTCTTCCAGGAACTGAAAATAACGCCAAGGGTGACAATCAGAATAGATAAATTAAATTCAACTCCGGTAGGCAAGGTGAGTTGATGTGTTCTCAACGTGACAATTTTTATGTACGTAGGTGCTGGTCCTTCTTGCTTTGTATTGAGTATCATCAGTGAGAACATTTTGTTTGGTATTGAAACACAAATACTTTTGTTTTGGAGTTCTACTTTCGACTAGTTGTTTTGCAGTGAACTTTCTTAATCAAGAAAGAGTTCAGCAATGCTTTCATGGCTATACCCAGCACCTCTGATGATACCTATGGCGCGTCGAAACAGCTCCGCTTGTGGATCACGAATGCTTCATTTTTGGGCTATGGTGTTGACCAATTGCCTTTAAGTGAGAGCTGCAAAAAGGACAGTAGATGAATCTCATTCGGCATTCGATGACGGATCTTGACGTTGCAAGCAACGGAACGCCTTTGGGAATATTGTTCATCATTGATATTCAAAGATTGAGTTTTCTATTGCATTGTCAATTCTTCTTTGTTTTGTGTCCCTCACAGTTAAGTTTCTAAAACGCCTTCTGTTATGGTTATTCAGCTCATACACATTTCAAAAAAGGTTATTCACAACAAAGCGTATGGTTATGGAAACACCACTCAGTAAGTAACGAAAAAAATTACCGATGAACACCCCACTTGTCGCGTAGAGCCTCAAACTTTGACGCACACATTGTACGTGTTCACGTACTTGCCCTTATTAAACATATAGATATTTACCTCCAAGTTTCTTGGAGTGCGGTACTCGGAGGCGTTTCTCTTCACCAGGCCGTGTGTGAGCGGATTGAATTTGTCTTTGCTCTTGGTTGACGACAGCAGAATCGTTTCAGCTTCGAAATGACTGCCCGTGTTTCGGCGCTCCCAGAAGATCTTGCGGAACGTGCTTCGGAACTTCTTCGAAAGGAGACAGTAGATCAGGAAGTTACACGGGGCGTTCAGCATTACCAGCAGGTTGAAGAAGTTGCCGAGAACTAGTTAAAAAAAAGAGAATTGATTCTGAAATGTCAAATATTTAGCTTCATACTCATTCGAAGGGGCTATTGCCGCAGGATGGCGCTACAAAACTCGAGGAAAATTACAAAATATCTCTTTTTTTTTTAATTTCCTTCGGCCATTGCAACTTCGTAGCTCTGGTATCGGAAATTTAAAATTTAATAGCAGTTAATTATAATAATGATGATTCTTCATTGGCGCTATAACACGTTTGTGCTTACAGAAGACAACATAAACATTTACAAACCGAAATTTGAATCTCAGATTTCATTGAAATCATTGAAAGCATTGTTAAGTGACAGAGAAAGAGGAAGTGCGTTGATGAATCTAAGGAAGTTCTTTGATATTCTTTATATATAAAAAGCCCCTTGTATGATAGTTCCTCATAAATGAATATTAATTATTCATTATAAAGATAGGTTGTAGATACTAAAGGAACCTGCTTATGAGCATACACCAATCATCTTTATTATTCGTTAGAGATACCAGAGTTAATCTCACTTCGTGAGGAGAGAATTTCATCGAAAAACTCTGTAGATAACGGGTTATTTCGACCAACAATACTTTTACAAAGTGAATTCTGAGAGATTTTGTAGAAATTTGAATATAAAATATCAGTCTGACATTATCTTTGTTTTCCTTGAATTTCATATCGCTATCTTGCGGCAATATACACAAGCTTTAGATTTATTAGATACTATCTATTATAAATACTTGTATAATATAATTTAAATAACGTTAAACTGTTGAAGTATCTCATCAATATCCAAATAAATGATTGAGATCAATTTGTTTTCGAAACTGTTCCTTTTTTTGTACCAATGCCAAAAGTAATTACATTTAACGACTCTACCCTCGCCTTATGATTCTAATGATTTTAAAATGTATGCAAACTGTTGAATTATATTTACATGAAAATACATTTGGACAATGTGCGATACAAAAAAATATTTACGGCTTCTAGTTGGTTACCACAGAAGCCTGTGTACAGTGTACTTGGTAAATTCTACAAAGACTATTTTTGAATTGGAGAATGTATACCTAACAACGAAATGCTACGTGACATATTCAAATGGATCAACACCATAACCTAATTTAACTTAGTTTCTATTGTTTCTATTCATTTGTTTATATATGTGTTTTTGTTTGTATATGTGCGCATTTATGTGTATGTGTATATATGTATATAGATAATACTCTCCTATATAATTTATAATTTCAAACCCAAATTGGCGCATGGAAAATCACACAACAAACATCCATATGCTTAGGTGAACTCTGTGCATCCAGTGACAGGATGTATCACTATTATAAATATATAATATATTGTTCTGAATAATGTGAAATATATATTAATATATGGAAAAAAATAGAAAAAAAATTCATCCGCAAAATATATGTACTCACTCAGCATTATGTTTTCCTCCACTTTGGTCTTTGGCCTATGAAAGTGACTGTAGATCAAGTGACAGGCTGTGGGAGCATTACAAAAGAGGAAAATGAAAACCACTCCAATCAGCATGATCGTTATTCTTTTTTCGTTCGTAAATGAGACACTATCCTGAAACAGAATTTTGTAGTGTCACGTTTCATATTTATTGTGGAAAAAATCAGAACCCCCCATTCATCTTTTTGGAAATTTTCACCTTCCCCGATCTGAAAAAACATGGAATTGTAATGGAGAACTTCGGATCACCGCGAAAATTAGATAACGGGTGATTTTTTAAGAGGTATAGGATTTGATTTTCAAAACAACACAAAAAATTTGAAAAAATCGATGAAATCTTTATTGGAATCTATAGAACGATCAATATAATTTAATGTTTGAAGATGATTTCATGCAAATGTTGTCCGCGGCTCCGCTTTAGATGGCCCATGCGCAAGGTCTAATTTTGACACAGTCTCTCTAACATATCGACCGGTATTTCACGTATAAATGCTTCAATATTGGCCTCCAGAGTGGCAGTCGTTGCTGGTTTATCTCTGTAGACATAAGCCTTAACATGACTCCACAAGAAATAATCCAAAGGCATTAAATCACACGATCTAGGCGGCTAATTGACGGGCCCTAAACGTGAGATAAACTGTTCACCGAAGGCAGCTCTTAATTGGGCCATTGTTTCGCGTGCCGTGTGGCATGTGGCATCGTCTTGTTGAAACCACATGACAGGCATGTCAAATTCTTCCATTTTGGGCAACAAAAAGTCGTCAATCATCACACGGTCGCGCTCGCCATTCACAGTAACGTTCCGGCCATTGTCGTCTTTGAAGAAGTACGGCCCGATGATGCCACCGACCCAAAATCCACACCAAACAGTGACTTTTTCGGGATGCATCGGTAGCTCTTGCAATGCTTGTTACTGGCTTTCACTCCAGATGCGGCAATTTTGCTTGTCAATATATCCATTCAACCAGAAATGAGCCTCGTCGCTGAGCACAATTTTTCGATAAAAATGTGGATCTTCCTCCAACTTTGCCAGCGTCCATTCACCAAATGTTAGACGTTGTGGGAGGTCGTGTGGCTTCAATTCTTGCACCAGCTGTATCTTATAAGGTTTTACACCCAAATCCTTTCGCAAAATTTTCCACGTAGTGGAGTAACAGAGGCCCAATTGCTGCGAACGGCGGCGAATCGACATTTCACGGTCATCACGAACACTGGCGGATACAGGCCGCAATATTTTCTCCGGTCCTCACTCTACGTATGCGTGTTGGTGGTTTAATGTCCAATAACGTAAACTGGGTTCGAAATTTAGCCACAAGCTTCCGAATAGCTCCCTCAGTAGGCCGACGAAACTGCCCATAAATTGAAAGAAGTGCACGATGCATTTTCTTCACCGACCATGAATTTTGATAATGAAATTCAATAATTTGCAAGCGTTGTTCATTCGTAAGTTGATTCATTGTTGAATTATAGACCAGACTGAACAAGTTTGACAATGACACAAGACACGATTCACGCGTGATCTGTCAAAAACAGTGCTTCCAATAAGATACCAGCAAAAAAATCTCTCATATTCTTCGCAAAGATGCTGACATTATACTCTTTCTGAATTTTTTCAATCTGGTCCGTAAAATTCTTTACATAGGGTAGGAAGACTATTTTCTTTGAAGACATTACTCAGATGATCGAGGGAAAGATTCTCTTTTTGCCGATTGTTGGATTTTTTTATTCAGATATCTGTCTGTCTACCACCAAAGTTTACTATACACTCTGTCACTCAATTTCAGGCATAAAAACCTACAGACCACGGCCAGCAAACCTAAAAAATAACTTTGACACAGGTGTTAATGGTCGTAAAAGTTTACAAGCCTATCACGGCGGGGAAGAATTTACCTACAAATGTATAATTACAATTACAATTTTTCTCCAGGTCGTGGAAGGTTGAAATTTAAAAAGGAGCCATCAAAGAAGTTATGAAAATTCGTCATTCGTCACGCTAACCTGAGAATTCGTCATCACCCTTCTCATTTTCTGCGACAAATAAACAGCTCTGACCAAGAAACAATTGAACGTAGCTATCAGCGCCAAGGGAATGATACCAAAAACCAACGCGCTATACCAGTAGATGAAGTCGGTATAGGTTTTGCTTTTGCCCAACTCCGTCGGTTCTACGTACACAGTCAAATTTTCAACACAGCAAGTCCTATTTTCCACTGAACTTTCATTATTATAACCATCCTGTTCTTCTATATTCGTGCCGTTTTGCTCCGGATCTGTTGAGGGATCGTCGAAAACGTTCTGCCCCGCACGAATATTATCCAAGAGTGCTCTTTTCGGTAATCTAGACTCGGGAAGGTTTACGGGATGCGGAAATACAGGCAAAAGAATTATATGGGGGTGCGTGGTACAGTTCGCAAGAATATGCTTCAGCTGGTTTTTGAAATACTCTTTATAGGGGTAGGCATAATTGGGCTCCGTGATTTGTAGATTCTGCACGGGAGTGTCGTTGCCAGGTTGTTGGTGCTGTGCTGAAGCCAAAGGGCATCTCTCGATACAGTCTTCGTTGAAGTCGAGTTGATATTCAAAAGCTGTAGTAGCAGTTGTCAACAAGCAGAAGATGTACACTATAACGATGAGGCTCTTGGCACGTCGTTCCGTGCAGAAAATTCTGCCTTTCATAGGGTGACAGACTGCTATGTATCTCTCCACGGTGAAAGAAACTGCCAGCCAAGCCGAAGTACCACCTGGAAAATTTGAGATACATCAGCAGTTGAAGGGGAAACATTTAATGGAAGTAGTGGTTGGAGAAGAGAAAACCGGCTGAGCAATTAATAGAAGGCAAAAAATCTTATGGTTGATACTCACTTGCAGCATCGCAAAGCCAATGTGTGAGTCCGTAAAATCTCCAATATAGTTCGTATTTTTTGTCGTGGATGTTGTTGTAGTGCTCGAACGAAAGAAGAAATCCAAAAATTAGTTGTATGATGTCAGCTATAGCCAAGGCTGATAAATAGGTGTTTGTTGAACTTCTCATCCTCCTTCTGAAAAAAAGGTATTGGTTGTGTGTGTGAGAGATATATTTTTTGTAGATTGATGAATGAAAAAAATCTTGATTTGGTTATCTAGTTGAAAATATATGATTTGATGATATCAAGTGTAGGTACTCTTAACTCATTTGCTTTTCGGTTATTGTACTGAATATAGAATAAAGAAAATAACTTTTATCTAATTTCTACTAAGTTTATTATTTGTTACGACCGATTTTGGTTTATTAGACAATTTTCAATATATACACTCGTATATACAATCATTCAACTCGAATCTTCCGTCCAGTCTCAGTGGAACCACCCTGTATTTTTTCGAAGAAAGAGAATACTTGGGAGAACATCCTGGCGCCGGCTCCACTCCTCGTCGAATATGGCTCAAGCCAAGTTTATTTTTGCCGAGGAATATACGTAGTTCTGTTTTGTTATTAGCACCTAACACATTCCCGAAAATAAACGCCCGTTTATTTTGATCTTTCGAAAATAAATGAATTTGTCATAAAGCGCTCCAACTTGAGCGAGATTTACTGCATCGCTAATGAGCGAAAGGCGTTTTTTCGCGATTTATCACTCCAGAACTTATTCTTCTGGTACATCATTTTAGTTACCACTAGCGAGTGCTTGCCAAACGTTCCACGGTTTATAACGTTAAAAATTGGTAGAATTGGTCATTGATCTAATAATAATATGAGTCTAATATTTTTTACGAACTGCAACCATAAATTATTTTTCCAATATGATAAATTTTGCTACTGAACTTTCTAATATACATTTCGATTTAGGTTGAATTGGAATCTCTGGTAGATGATATTCTTTTCAAAGCCTCTTTTCGTCCTTATTTTCCACGCGTACCGCTAAACCTCTTGTTTTTGCTCAAGAACTAAATTTGTCAAACATAACCTGAAATAAAGAGACCACTGCAACTCGGCCAATTTGATGGGAAGTAAAAGAAATTTAACTGTTTTTTAATCATTCCGCTTCTACTGTCGATGGTAACGGACGTATTGCTGCTTTTCTCGTCGATAGGGAAGCTGATACTCCATTTTGTACACGTTTTCATGTGAACGTCTAACATCCGAAGGACAAACATGGCAATCTTTTCGTTATCCACCGATTAATATCATACACGTGATGAAATGAATAAAAACAGTTTTGTATAATTTCCACTAGTTATTTTATTTTCACCACCTGTTTCGGGTTTTATCCTATTATCAACTATAAAAACTAGTTCCACAGGAAAATTGATGATCGGATTACCGAAAACTGACAATTTGTTCGAGATAGCAGAGCCACAATCAAAATAGCAAGCAAGCAACTGTTTTTGTTGAACAAGACAAACGGCGTTTCAGCTATCTTGCTATTTTTATTTGTACTAGCCACACAGGGTAGATTTTATATGTCACCCCGTGTAGATTTCTAATCAAAATGGAAAACCTCCTGTTTACTCTGCTACGGGCAATGATTCAAGTCATGAGTGGAAGGTTATAGGATCAAAAAATAATAGATATGTAAACCAAAGGGCCAACCTTGCCAGTACATCGATAAGCGACATCTTTGGGGCCTAAGTCGAGCATATATCGTGCAAGAGACACATTACCGAGAATATCCAGCTTTTCCTCTCGCTGCAACCCAACATTGAGAAAGTTAAGACTATCAGGAAAGCACTTGAGGCATCCCTATCCAAAATCAGATTTGAGGGGCTGACTTTGTCGAAAACTAATGACCAGGTGAAGTTTTTTGACTACAACCCCGACGGCTTTGGGGTTTGAATTCTACTTGAAAATTGATTCGATATGGTATCGTTGAAAACAGTATCCAGAAGAGAAGCAGTACGAGCTATTCGCTGTGTTGTACCACGACGGCAAAGAGCACACCACGGAACCGATGTCTTCCACGCCGGCAAAACTGTTGGTTGAGGTACGACGAATCCTCCATCAAGACCGTGCAGGAAAAATACGTGCTGAAGCTCCAGGTAACTTGAGTTCCTTATTTGTTGTTCTACAGACGTAGCGATACGATCTGACCTCAATAACGCCCCCTAGGGGTATGAGCTTTCAATGGATTTATGCTTTCTTTATTCTGCTGTGATGTAACTTCTATTTCATTTTCCTGCTCAATATAAGGAAACTAAGGAAAGAGACAGTTCGAAATACTTCTTGAAATCCGGATCTACAATTATCGTCCCACCTATGTGACCGGATATGTTTTATGGTCCAAATTCGTCTCAACACTCAAATTATTCATTGAATGTTCTTTATTTCTATAGAATACTGAGTTCATAGAGTAATACCTAAGAACTAGTAAAAAGGAGTATTTTCAAAGTGGTAAGCCTTCACACCCACGTTCCGGTCGTAGAAGCACTTCAAATCATACAGAGGAAGCTATCCAAAGACGAGGACCTGGAAGAAAGAACGAACGTATCAATAGTAATCATGGAATTACTAGAATGCTGTGTACGGAACTGCTATTTCCAACAGAAGAACGAATCCTTTACGCAATTAAAGCCACCAATAACCAACAAATATATGGAGTGGTTTGGTAAAACTCTGGCCATTGAAGAAGCCCGGTTGAGATACGTTGACGACACTTCCATAGAATGGAACCATGGGAATACAGAACTGAACACCTTTCTGTCTGAAGCACATCAAAAGGTTGAAACCTTCCACCACTTTCACAATGATGAAGGAAGCCCACAACGAATGGTCATTTTTGGACGTATTGGTGAAGAGGACCGACATACTAAGTGAGAAACATCTGTATACCAAAAACCCAGTCACACGGGACAGTACCTGAATCACGAATCCAACCACCATCAATCTATCAAAAGAGGAATCATCAAGACTCTAGTAGACCGTGCTTTCGGGCTCTGTAATACGAAGGAAGGTCTCGAGAAGGAACTAGGCATCATCAGAAAAGATCTTCAACGGAATGTTTAATACAAAGTGACGGTGAAACAGACGTCGTAAGGAAGAGAGGCCGTCACAACCAGTGCTTGCACTTCCTACATCAGAGGATTATCGGAAAATATAAGAAGAATTGGGTCCAAGTACAACATCAAAACCTGCTTCAGTTCCGGAAACACCATCCGTATCAGCCTCACCAGAATCAGGCCACCAAATGAGGACTGAGATTCCAAGAATTGCATTTAGCGTATATTTTGTTAGTGCAGCAAATCTTATATCGGTGAAACAAGGAGGCCATTGAAAGTTCGCATTGCGGAGTACAAGAGAAACACACAGCGAGGTGAAACCAGCAAACCAGAAATAACAGAGAATGTTTGGACTCATCAAGTGGTCCCAAGTTGAGATCATCCACAGGAAAGGACACTGGTTTAAGAGGAAGTTCAAAGAAGCGGCATATATGTTGATCAACGACGCATTTAGAGTAGAGATACACAACATATGAAAACCTGTAATCAAGCGGGAAAACGGTCAATTCCTGCTAAACCGATGAAGCGGAGAGAGGAAAGAGAGAATAAGTGAAAGCGCTCGAATGACCTATAAATAGTCATCTCTTGGAGGAATTGTGTTAGTTAGGAAAGCTATAGACGACCCCTCCCGATATAGAAGACCTCGACACTCTGTCGAATGAGGCCCTCATGTCCCCTGTTAACAGACTAACAATCTTTCTCTCTTCCCAGCCAGGTAGGGGTACACCGTGATGTCTGAGGACTTTCATACCGCCACCACCATTCAGTCATGACCTGCCAGTCGTAAGGGTTAGAGCGCCCGTACACGAGTCACATTTTGCGGTCGGTTCGACCACACAATTGCAGTGGCGTTCCAGCGAACTCAAGCCGCCCATAAGAAATACTGTACTACACGTACACGGGCGTTCACAAAAGTCAAAACGGACGTATGCAGTCAACTTGCTGCTGATCTCCGCCGAGATGTCATCGCGACATCCGCCGTACATTAACCATAAAATTGCAGTCGTACCCAACCGCGTATACCGTTGTGTACTTTTTCTCATATTGGTCTCACAGCATTCAACGCACTGCAAGTGCGGTTTCTATGATCGCAAGTCGACCACAAAAATGTGGTTGGATCAACCGTGAAGTGAAGTCAACGTAGCCACAATGTTGTGGTTGCCTCAATTGCAAATATGTGGTCCGTGTGTGACCGGACTAAGGGAGCTAGGCTCAAGCTTGTTCGAAAACAAGATGGCTGTCGAATAGTCCAGTCATCACCCGTAGACGATTGTGGATACTAGGTTACTTCCACCAATTGGAAATTGTGGATACTAACAATCGAAACGTCGTGAAATCAGTGTTGCCACAAGCTATCTTTTCATCGAGGTAGATTTCTGAAAGGAAACGGGGTAGAATCGGTGTGGATCCACATTCACTTGATGATATCAATCACAGTGATGCATTGACGTATACCTATGATTGACGTTCTTTGTTCTATGATCAATTTGTGGACTTGATATATACCTATGATTGTCGTTCTTTGTTTTATGATCAATTTGACGATCGTAATCAAAAACATAAGTCACATGTCATCGAATCCAAATTTGGGATCAATGTGTTTCCAAACCATTCCTCGACAATATTAGCTTCCATGGTCTTATGATAGTCAACATTCCTCAAGTTTTTTCCATATCACTTTAAAGAATTAGGACCCATCCTTAATTCCTCCGCAATGAACAATGATTAGTCGCGATCCTTTGTTTGCATGTTAGGCGTACACATTCTCGAACCATTAGTCCACCCTTTCGTAACTGTGTCGTGAGTGTCATACCAAGTTTCGTCCAAAAAGATAATTGGCCGTTGTTCTTGTCTATATTCAGTTATTTGTTCTGAGTATTTGTTACGCAATTCCACTATTCTTCTGTTTTCCATAACTGTTTGACGTTTGTTTATTATTTTGAATCTAAATCCTAGTTTCTTTATCCAATTCTGAAGAGTTTTGTCACAGAAGCTCACGTTATGGCCGGAAGTATTCTATTTCTTCCTTATGATTTCTGTTGTAGGAATCTCATTGCTTTTGTAACAGTCGTATATTGTTTTTTTTTTCAATGATTTTATTAGATGAACATCTAAAGGTTTTAGTAATCCTGTATCACATCGCGTCTTGCATTCATTAGGTTTGTTTTTGACTGTTTTACGTACAGTTGAGAAAGGAATTTCCGTCAAATCTGATGTTACTTGTAAAAGTTTCTTTCCCTCGAAACCAAAAATGAGATGTATATTCTTATATACATTGAAACATACTCTCTGTAATTCAATACTCAAATGCATCTGAATCTTATTCACTGGTATCTCTTTTTCGCATTGTTCACCATCGCTATTGGAATCACTACGCTGGAAAAAGTCTACGTTGTTATCACACTCGTTATTACTATTAGTACTCGTCCAAGGACGCCACATTTTGAACAGATAAAAATTTTAAGTAATTATAACTGCACCAACATCGAATTTCCACACTCAAATCGCGATCAGTTCCTGAACTGAACACGACGGCGATAACCAGAGGCCGCATTCCCAGATTTCTATTCGTCAGCGTAACATATGACTTCTAATTCAATTTTATGACTCTTCAGCCAATCACAAAACTCGGTTAATAAAAATTATCCAATACGAACCGCCAAGTCTCTACAGTCCACGTGGACTAGTTTGCTGCCGGTTCATTTCTATGTGTTGGTTTTTTTGGCCTTTGAGAGTGCCGACAACTTTAAGAGTGCACAATATCGGTTACTTCGACTATACATATCCCTATATTTATATCACAGACTGAGATTGCACATAATATAAACATTTCCATATTTACATTCTCAACTTTAACTAAAAATGTCGCATGCCATGTCACAAACATCAAATAACATTTCACACGCACAGAGCATGATCACGGCATTCGGTATCATTGGAAGAGCAGAAGAGCATTGTAGTGTAACTCAGTACTCAGTCACAGAATATCGGAACTATCGGTGTAAAAGTCTTACAGTAAGACACAACCCAAGGAACCACCACCAGCGGTGCCAGACACTCAGTCTACGCCAACTTTGCCAAGGGTGGCTTGTGTAACGCGGTAGATTCAAAATCAAACCTCAAATATTTGTTAATTTTTTCATTTTCATTCTTTTGCTTCATATCTGAGCGGGGTAGATTTACTTGTGGGGAGCGAGAGGGTGAAATCAAGTTCAAGAGGGGTAGAACTACCCCGTACGGGGTAGCTGTGGCAACAGTGCGTGAAATAACTTGGTGTGAAATATTTTTTTAATTTACTTTTAATTTTTGCTGATTTTATTTCATTTTATTCGTTGTATTGTATTTTCATTTCAGGTTTTATTGCCTAATATAATTGGTATTTAAGCTATTCGTTCTAATTATATTTGCTTTTTCATATATTTCGATTCATACTCATTACTGTCAGTATTATTATTACCTCGTTAATACCATTACAGTAACTGTGTTCCCGGCTAGACCCAGACATAGCAAGATCGGTACAAATACTCTCTGGACGTAAAATCTGGACCACAACAAAATTGCTTGGGAATTGGCCTCGGCTTCATCCATTTCACCTGAAAAAAAAATCATTTCTTCCATAAAATGTTGAGTAATCTAAATTTCTTCACCGCAACAACAAACAAATAATATGGAATCGACTTTTCACTGAAATCATTTTTATGACCTGATATTCAAATTGAAGTTAACACTGCAATTTTTGTTTTTGATGTCCTTGATAATGTCAAATATTTAAGCGAATACATGAATTGAAAAATGCTCCAACCTCAACTTCAATATTCTAAAACAAAAACATTCAGTATTCAGAATTCCATCTTTTAATATTCCAAGTTCATAGACATCAAAATTGATACGATCACATGATATAGAAATATAAAACAATCTTCAAATACGAAAACTTTGCACAGATTACATACTGAGCATATTACCTTACTTAGTACGGTGATAGTTTCAAAGTTACAATGTCAGCATATAAATCTTCATGAATATTGAGAGAGGTCAAGATCATCAACAGACAGTATTGAGAAATTCATTCAGTATTTGAATTGAAGGGGTTATATATATTTTTTTATTTTATTTGTTTCGAAAGAATTTTTTCTTTCGTATAATTCAATGTTCATATGAAAGTAGCTGTTTCAGGAGGACTTTCTTTCAGTTTGTGTCTGAAAGTTACTTCTCTGCATGATATACACATCCATGTATAGAGTTACTTCCTTCCTTTCTTTGGAAGACTCCCTCATCCTTTTTTTTGTATCAAGATGGAGTAGTAGAAAGCCAAAAACTTTCTTTCCCAAAAATCATTCAGTATCTATAGATCTTCAGAAAAGGTTCCAGCAATGCAGCACATCTCTTTTTCTTCGATCCTGCTGGGTGGCAGTATAATGTAAGTTTTTGACGGGTGATTATTAAACGAATGCAACTTACAACAAAATTTATTAAATGGTCAAAAATACTGAGTGCGCATACACGCAAAACTAAAAAAAATATGACTCTTCTTTGGCACCCCAAAAAAAAATCATAATACAAAAAAAAATTGGAATCAGTACAAAGTATGGCCTCCACGCTGGTTTATTACGGCCCTACATATATCGTGCATCGACAAAATGGGATTGTCAATGTCTTGTTGAGGTACATTTGCCCATTCAGCGATTAAAAGCTCTCTCAATTGGAACGTTGTGTGAATGTTCCCCATATGCGGAGTAATTCTTCGTTGGAGCATGTCCCACACATGCTCGATGGGATTCAGGTCCGGTGATTGTGCTGGCCATGGCAATACATCAACTCCTTCGTTGGTGAGCCAGTCAGTCACTAGACGCGCGATATGTGGACGAGCATTATCGTGCATTAGGTGGAAGTTTTCACCAATAGCACCAGCAAACGGACGGACGATAGGTTGAAGAATGGTGTCGAGGTACTGTCGAGCTGTGAGGGAGCCATTTGGAAAAACGAGATCGGTTCTGTCGCCGATCATGATTCCGCCCCATAGCATTACTGTACCACCTCTGAATGTATGGACTTCCTGGACGTGTCTCAAACGTTTATTATTTCCAGGTCCTCTCCACAGTCTTACTCGACGAGAATCTGGATGAAATCCAAATCTGGATTCGTCTGTAAACAAAACTGTGGCCCAATCATTTGCATCCCAGTTTTGATGTTCTTGACACCACTCTAATCTTCTACCGCGATTGCCTCTCGACAAAGGTGGACATCTAAGTGGCCTTCTATTGTGGATATCTGCTTCTTGCAGTCGATTTCTGACAGTATCACGACCAATGGTTACCTGGTGCGTCTGCTGCAACACGTTAACCAACTCAGGTGCTGTGATTGTCGGTTGTCTTCTTGCGGTTAAGACCAAAAATCATCCTTGAACTGCAGTTATAGCGCGTCCTCGCCCTGGATGTTGTTCGGCTGGACTGCCAGTTTCACGGAAACGCCGCCACAATCGACTGATAACACTTTGGGAGACCCCCAAACGAAGAGCTACATCATTTTGTCGCATGCCACCTTGAAGAAGCCCTACAGCTCTATTCATCCCAGCCAATGGTAAGTGATGGCGTTCCATGTTAAAGCACAATATTTCCAGTTTAATTGCTGAGCAAGAACTGCATAGAATGTACAAACTCGACACTTTCAGATTATTCATTTTAGCCGAAAACCTACAGTTTGTAAAAAACTTGATAAAAGATTAGTTACCGTTTTTGCAGACTTTGTTCAACCCATAGAAATCTACAGGGTGGTCGAGTGTACCAATTTAATCGAAATTAAACGACCTCATGCATTTATTTTTATGATATTTACTATGTTATGAAAATATCCCTAGACTTTTTCGATGTGTGTAATATTGATTCCAAATTTTCTCATAAAACACGTAATACGAGTATATCTGACGAATCCATCATCTGGCAAACATTCCTTGGAAATCCAATCATCAACGTGTGCACTGATCTACCATTGAACCATTGCCAAAAAGGTATCCCAAAAGAACGTAAGATAACACTCGAACTTCAAACACCTCACCGGCCATCTGTTCAAATTGCGTTCGTAGTAAAAATACGCGTTTCATAAAAATCTGTAGGCGGCAGATTGTTTTTTTTCCATTTATCGTCTCCGAGGAACTGGAGTGGAACTTCTTGCAATAACTCATTTTGCACATCACAGTTTTATTATTCAATATAGTAGTCTCATCAACAAGTTCAAAAACATGAAAAATAGAGATGAAGGTCCTGAAAATATGAGCGATGGCTCATTCGATTCGGAATCACCTCTAGAAAAATGTTTTTGTTAATTGTTATTAACAATTTCAAAAATATTGAATTTCTTTATTTGTTTAAAACAATTTAATAAACAAATTACGTAAAAAATTCATATCCTATGTTAATAGCTGCCATTGTTTAATGTGAAAACAGACATAGCTAAATATCAATTGAAGAAAAAATGTATCAACATTTTTTAGATACTTCATTTTGCAATAGTTATAAAAAATCATAATCAACAAATTAATAAATTTTTATGAACTTTTATCGCAGGATCGTATGAAGTACATATATCAAAAGGACTCCACGAAGTTTAAAATGTATAGGTCAATTATTTATACATTTTATCCCATTATATTTATGCCAACGGAGATTGGGAAAAAGTTTGTTAGTTAACAATTGAAAAACTTTTTAAAAAAAGAGTGATAAAACTTTTTTTGCTACGGAACTCGATTCATTCAAGTGTTGAGAAAATACTAGATTTTTTCAAATTTTCAAAATGACATTTCATGTTATAAAATAAATATTTCTTTTGATAAACTCTCTCTAGCGGCAGCGCGCGCATCCCTTAACAGCCGCGCGGAAGCCTATTTTCAACGTCAAATTAAAATTATAAATAATGGAGATAGAGTTTCGGGGGTCGGGACTTTTTCATCGGAAATTTCCTCCTCTTCAACGAGCTTTTTTCGAAATTGCTGAAATATTAATATTTTTTGAGTTATTAACGAAAAACTAAATACCATTTTTTCAAAATCTTATTTTGCTAATAACAATTGCCATTTTTTACCTGCACCAAAATCGTTCAAAAACATTTTTCTAGAGGTGATTCTGAATCGAATGAGCTATCGCTAATTTTTTTAGGACCTTTATCTCTATTTTTGATGTTTTTGAACTTGTTGATTAGACTATGAACTGTATTATGGAAATAGACGTTGTGCTGCGAGAGCCGCTGAACTGTTCAATGAACAACATGGGAAGAATGTGTCGCGACAGTATGTTTTCGATTTAATTGTAAAATTTCGCGCAACTGGATCTGTAGCAAAAAAAAAGGTAAATCGAAGCATCAGTAACAAATGAGACGATACAAGTGGCAATGCTGGGCCATGTTGAACTTGACCATACTTAGAGCACAAAAAATTTAGCATTTGTTTCCGGGGTGTCACGAACTAGCATTCGGCGTATTTTAAAAACCCACAAAATGCATCCTTACAAGATTAAATTAACGCAATAACTGAATAAAGATAATTTCGATCGACGCTTGCAATTTTGCGAGTTGGTTAGTGAATGAGCGGTGGAAAATCCACATTTTGTTTTCAACATTTTCTTCAGTGATGAATGTTCTTTTTTTCTAAATGGCACTGTTAGTCGCCATAATTGTCGCTATTGGGCTGATTCAAATCCTCACATTTTTCATGAAGTGCATACTCAACGTCCACAAAAATTAAATGTGTGGTCTGGAGCTTCTGGAAGATACAATTAATCCCCTTCTCACTGATATTATTGAAAATGACCACAATTATCGGGAGGATCTGTTAATATTTCAACAAGATGGGGCTCCTTCGCACTATGCTCTGTATGTTCGGTAGTATTAAGATCAGACTTTTCCTGATCACTGGATTGCGAGGAGGGACACTATCAAATGGCCACCACGATCACCAGACCTTTCCCCGTTAGATTTCTTTCTATGGGGTCATTTGAAAAGGAGATTTACTGTACTCCTCCTGCATTCCTCGAAGATTTACGGCAACGAGTCACAAATGAATGTCGCTAATCACTCCAGAAATGCTCCACAATGTTCGAGAACGTTTTCATCACAATCTCTAATATTGCATGGAAGCTGGAGGTGCCCATTTTGAGCATATGCTAAAATGAGAATAAGGTAAGTAACTTCAACTCTAAATTTAATATGGTTCGTCCAAATTAAAAAAATGTACACCATTGTTTAGAGAATTCCAAGGTCTATCAAACGATGTGCGACTCGCCTCCAGTTCCCTATTAAAATCACAAGGGTTGTTCACCCCTCTGCTCCGGGGTTGAAGTGACAACGCTGTAAATAGGGAGAAAAAGTTCCTTCTCCTAATGAAAATCTACCTGTCTGAGCGTTTTTTGGGATTTGCAAGATTAGTACCCAAAACCTCCATGTCAAGTTTTCGATGGTCCACCCTGTATATGTTTTGACATTCGTATAAATATCCCGTGTTAGGAGCCACACGTTAAATGGTAAGACCTCCTCAGTCCCTAACTCGCAGAAGTTTCGACTTGTGAGGGTTGTCGTTCGTAGAGGTAACGGAAAAAACATATTTTAACATATTTCAACATCAAATTCCAAGTCCTTAATCGCTTATAAATGAGTGAAGCAATTCCTGACAAACACCGTGCTAACTACACAACGCACAATAATTTTTGAAAGTAAAAAAAGTTTTTGCAAGTGCATTCAGATCAATATCGTCTAGGATAAATTGTGACTATTTTTGACAGAGAAAGTTTGGTCTAAATAGGATTCGTTAATTTCTTCAGTGCTAGTCGAATAAATACAAATGAATATACACACACATACACACATATACACATATATACATACATACACATACATATGGTCAGTTTGTTTTTCGATTTAAAGATATATTTATATAATAACGGAACACTATTTGAGGTTAATAACTATATATGTATAGACACAGAAATATTATCAATACACTATTTTATGTATCTCTGTACGTGGAAAACTGGTAATGTATTCATTTAATCGTTTTTTAAATTCATTTTGGTTTTTTGAACTTTTTATTTGATTGGGTAGCGAATTAAAAAAATTGAGGCTGAGGTAGCTTTTTTGTCCTACAACTTTGTTCATAAACGGCATTTTGAAGGTTAAGTTGTTTTCATAAACATGTTTCAAGAACTGGTTATATCAACATAAACGAGCAAATTTGATATTTCTCAACAGAAACTATTTCAGGTACATCAGTTTGTTTTGTTTACCAAGTAACTATTATAAAACTCGGAAAACATATATTTTTTCATCATGAGGATATCAACTGTCAGAGGGGAAAGTTACTAACTCACGCTGAGAATATATAGTTGTTTTCCTGAGAGAGAAACAGTACATAAAGCAGACACATAATTACTTACATGCAATCACTCAAAAAAATGTATATACATTGTCCTTCTTCCAGAGGATTGTTGGTGGGATTATTCTAACAAAATGTCATTCAAAAAGTGATCAGGTGTAACTGCATTAAAGTTATCAAGAAATCGATAAAAAGATATACCCTATCTCGACTCAAACGTAAACACAAACAAATCGTATGGACAGTTCGAAAACAGATGCTATTTTCTGAATGGAAAAAAAGTGTCTGCTGTGTGTATTTGTTGGAGAAAAATACTGTCAAACTTGTATCTGAAATTCTTGACGCAACTGCAAAAAAATGAAAAAAGACACATAGAAAACTTTGGAATACTTTTGACAGTGGGTGTTGCAATTCATTTATTTCCACCATTTTGTAGTAGTTGAAGATATTGACATTATATTCTAGGGTTGTGAAGCATTTGTCAGGAGCTTCAAAAAGATTCCAAATGGCACCCAGTCGCCATCTGGAAAGTTTCATCTGTCAATTTTACTTCAAAATAACGTATTCGTGTATTAATTTAATTATCCAAAATTTCAATTTTTTGTGTTGACCCGTTCAAAAAATAAAAGGGGGGGCATTAAAGAAATGCACTGCATATTGTCCTGTAAATGGATTCATCTGTTGGTCAATAACTTTTGTAATTCAAGGACATACCAAAAAATGCATATCAAAACTGATTCAAGGATTGGAATCAACGCTGGCACAAGCTTATTATATCTGAGGGGGGCTACTTTGAAGGAGACAAAAGAAAAATTGATGAAAAAATAAATATTTTCTGAGAAAAGTCAAATCCACGTCACTGCAAGATTTGACCCGAAGTGATATCCATGCATATAAGACAAGTTGAATGAAAGCTTGTAAAAATAACTCTCGTATATAAATATCAGGCATTCAAAATGGCGAAAGAACTGGGACTCACGTTCTAGATGATTTTCATTCTTCTTGTAGCAACGTTCTTGAATCCGAACAACTTCAGTTCGTTTCACTTGGACAGCAAACACATCTGTAACAAATGATACACAGTTCAAAAAGTTTTGAATAAAATTGGTTTCGAAATTTTCCAACCCTAAACAAGTTCAAAAACATGAAAAATAGAGATGAAGGTCCTAAAAGTATGAGTGATAGCTCATTCTATTCGGAATCACCTCTAGAAAAATGTTTTGAAGGATTTTGGTGCAGGTAAAAATTGCAATTGTTATTAACAAAATAAGATTTAAAAAAAAGGGATTTAGTTTTTCGTTAATAACTCAAAAACAAGAAAATATTGAATTTCTCTATTTGTTTAAAACAATTTAATTATCAAATTACGTAAAAAATTGTTTAATGTGAAAACAGACATATCATAATAAACAAATTAATGAACTTTTATCGCAGGATTGTATGAAGTATATATATATCAAAAGGGCTCCACGAAGTTTAAAATTTGTAGGCCAATTATTTATACCTTTTATCCCATTATTTATGCCAACGGAGATTGGGAAAAAATTTGTTAGTTAACAATTGAATAACTTTTTGAAAAATGGTGTTACATTTTTTTTTCTACGGGACTCGACTTATTAGTCATTGGGCTATGCTTGAAGACTGGCAGTAAACAAATCTAAATAAATTAACTTTAAACATTCAAGCTAGTCTCGACTATACCTACACAGTAGGTTGAATGGACTGACTTGAACGTTTAAAGTTCATTTCTTTAGATTTGTTTACTGCCAATTTTCAAGCATAGCCCACTGACTAATAAGAAAGTTTTTCTTTCTTATTCAGAGGAATCGGGAAAATTACGGATATGCAGTTGGTTAGTACCTCGTCCACTAGATGGAGTGACATTTTGTTGTTCGCTACAACTTAGGAAGAGGAATGAGATACTATGAAAGGATTCCGATTTTCAATTATGGAATATCATTGACTTCAGGTCGATAATGGCCACTATCTTGCACTGATGAGTGGCTAATGAGCCCGAAACCGGTCTGCAAGTGTGCCCGTTCCAAAATTGAGGCTCGAATCTTTCAGTTGTATTGCCAATTGCATATGTAGGAAATTTTCTGTGAAGGTTCCTGCACTGACGCTTGTCAGATATAATCCAACGCCCTTCATGGTATTAGCCAGGGGAGTAGTTGTTTTCTGATAGGCGTCAGTTCACTCAACCTACTATGTAGGTTGAGTGTGAAGTTAATTTCTTTAGAAACAAAGATTACATGGAGAGGTATAAAATCATCGATAAAATTTATACAAAGAGTAGTAATTTTTTTCAATTGAAAAGGTTTTCAATCTTGAATTGGAAATATTCATAATAGGAGCTGCTTTTTCATTTTCATCTCATTTGTTGAAAATTTTTGGTCCGAGTTAGAGATAGCTTTTCTGGTAGAGGGCTCTTCGATGTGGTCTAGGTACAAGCAAATTTCCAGAGCGGATTGGATAATCATAAATTTGCGGATTCGATAAAAAACTTGATTCGTCATTATAAGCAATAATACATAATTCATAAATATATATTTTCAGAATTGAAGGGGGTTATATTTTTAGGAGTGATTAATTTTTTTGGGAAAGAAAGTTTTTGGCTTTCTACTACTCCATCTGATACAAAAAAAAGGGGATGAGAGAATCTTCCAAAGAAAGGAAGAGTTTCAAATTGATTACTTCCTTCCTTTCTTCGGAAGATTCTCTCATCCTTTTTTTTTGTAGAAAGCCAAAAACTTTCTTTCCCAAAAAAATATATTTTCAGGTTTTTAAAGAGCTTCTACATGACTCTCTTCAACCAATTATTCGAACTGCCGACTTTTGTAGTATGAATATCCTTTCCACGGACCATCCCGAACCCCTATTCAAAATCCCATAAAGCAAATGTCAATGAATCGTCTCATAATACAGCATTTAGACAAGAATCTCAATGCATAACAGTTTTTACGAAGTTTTTAGGTTGAATAAATTCAGTAGAATTCGGGGAAAGAGTATCATTTTTTGTGAAAGAAAATAAAGAAGAGTCATATACAGGGTGATTCAAAAGTACTTTGGCAAACTTCAGGAGGTGATTCCTCACAATATTCAAATATGAATTGCCCAAATAAATAAATGTTCGGAAACGCTTCGTTTCCAAGATACAGGATGTTGAAGTCTCATTTTTATTTTCGTTTTTTTCAAATAACTTTTGAAATACTGAACTTAATTAAACGAAACTTGGTAATAGGAGGTTTTTGAGGTGTCGAATTCGAACCTGATGTTCTAATTGCTCTTACTCGTAGGGGGCGCCACCTACACGTCTTTTTCTTTTTTAAAGATTCATAACTTTTTTGGGCGTACTTCTA